ACACACACACACACACACACACACACACACACACACACACACACGGGTGCAGATTGCAAATGATAAAACAAATGTTACAAAAATGGTACAAAACAACAAGTGAAATGGATAAAATGTAATTAAGTATTCTTTGTACCAATCTTACAACTTACCTCTAAATTTGAAATTATTTCCAACTAAAGTTTTATAAAAAGCCACAGAAAATTTTTTTTAAAAATTTAGAACATGAAGCTAAAGTACTCCTCTATATTCTTTACCTTATAAAAATAGAATGCTATAAAATATGGGATGCTATAAGATACTATAAAATAGCAGTGGTCAAATCATCTTATGCCTCTCATTAATGCATTTGCATTAATACTATGTTATCCACCTCATAAAGATCAAATTCTCTAATAGCCACTGGCTGATAAAAGATAAAAAATACAAGAAGGCAAAGGAAAGGCATTAGCCACAACAAAAAAAGCTTTCATTTTCCGAATACACAGATTCTAGACAAAAAAAAATTTAGAAGAGCTTTGAATCCTCTATCTTCCTACTGAACATATTTAAGACAAGCTTAGGATAAAACTTATCCCAAGTAACTTACTTGTCTGTTCTGCTTTAAACTTCTACACAACAAAGTCGTAAGGGTAAATAACACTATTTCAAATTAAGACCCAGTTTTTTCTGCCCAAACCAGTATCTGAACACTAACAATACTTTAGGAATCTAAGAATAGATCTCCCAAATCTGTTATTTTAACTAACTACTTTGTCTTTTATGAAAGGAGTTTTTTAAAAAACACAAAACAGAGAGACTTACAGTTCATCTCGTTGTCTCTGGGACAGCACCATTTTGGCTGTAATATCAAGCTTCTTTGATATAGTGGTATGTCCCTCCTTTGGGAAATCAAAAAGCGTTGTGATCCCTGGATTTATAATTAAATATGCCACTAAGTGGCGTCCACACAGGAGAAGACGATTCTTTTACAAGTGAATCCAACCAGTAATCAGGAGACAGTCAACAAATAGGGTTCATTCCACCTAAGGAGAAAAAGAGAGAAAGAGAGAAGATAATTTCTTTCACTTAGAATTTAAATTATTTCTGCATTACTATTTGCAGTTTATACTTTCAAAGACGATTTACTGTGATGCTAATGAATGGCAGGGGACGTTTTGTTATGATCATATTAGTACATATTTTAAACTATCTTTTTACTGGGCTTAAACAGCACTATTTTCAAATTTACCCATTCCCAACGATGTCACCAGCCAGATAATATAGATATCAATTTTGTTAAAATTCAAATATTAACATATAACTTCTCTAGGCTATAATTCTCCCTCAAAGTAAAAAAATCAGGGTGTGTGGTGGAACATGTGACTCTTAATCTTGGGGTTATAGGTTCAAGCCCAATGTTGGGTGTAGAGATTACTTAAAAATAAAATCTTAAAAAAGACAAAAAAATACAAATTCTGGGGCGCCTGGGTGGCTCAGTCGGTTGAGCATCCGACTTCAGCTCAGGTCACGATCTCGCGGTCCGTGAGTTCGAGCCCCGCGTCAGGCTCTGGGCTGATGGCTCAGAGCCTGGAGCCTGCTTCCGATTCTGTGTCTCCCTCTCTCTCTGCCCCTCCCCCATTCATGCTCTGTCTCTCTCTGTCTCAAAAATAAATAAATGTTAAAAAAAAAATTAAAAAAAATACAAATTCTAATTTACAAAAAACACATAATCTGAAAAAAGGAGGATTTCAATGTCCACAAGCCAAAGAAGTTAACCGTAACTGATAATCTTCAAGACTGAGTATTAGTCACTAATAATCTTAGTTGATATTATTTATAATGTAAATTACTTAGCAATCACATGCCCTCTTAACTAATGCATTTAATGGAAGAAACAATTTAATTTTATTTCAACTTACTTTGTGTTCTTTAGAGGCATGTGTTTTAGGGGCACCTGGATGGCTCAGTCAGTTAAGCATCTGACTCTTGGTTTCGGCTCAGGAGTTCAAGCCCTGCATTGGGCTCTGCGCTGGTGGGGCGGAGCCTGCTTAGGATTCATTCTCCTTCTCTCTACCCCTCTCCCACTTGGGCTGTCTCTCAAATAAATAAATAAACTTAAAAAACAAGGAACAACAAAAACCTTAATGGACTACCCCCTAGAGTCTATGTACTCACATAGTAATTCAATTTCTCTAACCTAGTTTTTGGATAATATTACCCAATATTTCAGAGTCTTTCCTTTATATTTGTAACAAAATAAAATCAATTTCTACTTAACATCTAAAAAGTATTGTAATCAGTTCAATCAGAGTAAATGTAGGTGAAAGTTAAGAAAACTCAAAGAATTACTTCTTAAAAAATTATTCTTCAAGTTTCCTATTTTACAAAACAAGTTTTGTTTGCTTTATCACACTGTACAAAAATATATTTGAGGGGCGCCTGGTTGGCTCAGATGGTTAAGCGTCCAACTTTGGCTCAGGTCATGATCTCACAGTTCGTGGGTTTGAGCCCAGCATCTGGCTCTCTGTTGACAGCTCGGAGCCTGGAGCCTGCTTCATTCAGATTCTGTGTTTCCCTCTCTCTCTGCCTTCCCCCGCTGGCACTCAGTCTCTCTCTCAAAAAATAAACATTAAAAAAAATTTTTTTTTAAAGAAACAAGAAATCAGGGGCGCCTGGGTGGCTCAGTTGGTTGGGCGTCCAACTTTGGCTCAGGTCATGATCTCGTGGCTCGTGAGTTCATGCCCCGCGTCGGGCTCTGTGCTGACAGCTCAGAGCCTGGAGGCTGCTTCATGTTCTATGTTTCCCTCTCTCTCTCTGCCCTTCCCCCGCTCATGCTGTCTCTCAAAAATAAATAAACATTAAAAACAATTAAAGAAAAAAGAAACAGGAGATCATCCTCTAAATAAAATGAAATTAACATCTAATGAAAGGCCTGCGGGACCACCTATCAAGAGACAAATCATGGGCAGAAGAGACCATTTCTTGAGTACCTTTTTCATACCATGCCAGCCACACTATTCCATGCGCAGGGGATATACATAGTGGCAAATAAGCCAGTCAAGGAGGAAAAATGAGAACAAACCCTGGTTTTAAATACAAGCCCCGAGTCAAAAAGTGAGTGCTCAGATGTTCCCAATGGTAGCTACTGACTTTGATGAAGGTCCTTCTCTGTTTAGCAATTCTAGTATATATAATCTGGAATTTATTTTATCATCTTTAATGATTCTTCCAACCTAGAGATTAGCTGGCTAAAATGACAGCTGAAAACCACCACATCTGTTTAAATCCAGAAAAAATATGACTAATGTCAGCAATAAGTAGTGGAATGAGAACCAAACACAATGGACAACCCAGAAAACTATCTCTCTTTGGTATTTAACAACTTCTAACTATTTAAGCCTCACTTTTCTAAGTATTAACCCTCACCAAGCCAAGCTATCTAGGAACTCATGTTAGGGTGAGGCTTATCTGATGGTGGCGAGTATCTGAACTGCCTACAGGCTTCTATTATCTGGGACAATGGTAACCCACAGGTCCACTTTAATGATGGAGAGACCACCTCTAGCCAATAAACCTTATCAATGTACATGAATAACAATACTTCTGGAATACTAGGATGATCTAATAACAATAAAACCAAGGCACAAACAAATCACTGAACGTGTAATTGTGCCCTGCACAACTTATTAATTCAACATTTGCCAAACACTTACTATGTACCAGGCACCAGGTTTAATAAGGTAAAATACTTGGTCTTTACCCTCAAGAAGTTCACAGTCTACTGGAACAGTCAGCCAAGATACAGGCAGCTGACATAGTAAAAAAGCAGAACAAGTATTACCACATAGGGAGAGATGATTCAGGATGAAGCTGAGAAGGTAAGCAGGGTGTATATCACAAAACAAGCTCAGGTCTTCTTTACATTTATCCTCAGGGCAATGGACAGCTTTTAAAAAAAATTTTAATGTTTATTTATCTTTGCAAGAGAGACAGACACAGAGAGACAGAGAGACAGAGAGCGTGAGCATGGGAGGGACAGAGAGAGATAGAGACACAGAATCCAAAGCAGGCTCCAGGCTCTGAGCTGTCAGCATAGAGCCCGACATGGGGCTCGAACTCAATGGACCGCAAGATCATGGCCTGAGCTGAAGTCAAAGGCTTAACCAATTGAGTCACCCAGGCGCCCCACAATGGGGTACCTTTAGGTAAGTTTTTCATAAAAACTATTCTTGCTTATATAGTGAAGAATGGACCAAAAAGACAGGAAAGGAAGAGACCAGACAGGAGACTTACAGTAATGAAGGTGACAGATGATGGAGATTCACAGTAGCATAGCAGTAGTGAATGAAGAGAATTAGATGGATTTAAATCATTTACCAGGTCTTACAGGATTGGTGACTAGATGTGGGTAGCAAGAAGGTGAGAAAGATCAGGCAAGGAGTCAAGGATAACTTCCAGAGATTTCTGGCTTAGAACTAAGTTGAACAGGAAATTCCTGTGTGTGAGGGGATGAGGAAAGTAGGACTTACTCCATTTTCGGTATGTTGATTCCAAGGTGCCTGAGATTTTTAGTAGGGAGTAGTACAAACAAGTCTGCCCTGAAGAGAACTGACCTACAAAAAAAAAAAAAAAATGGAGGACCCACGGAGAACGCATAGAGCTAGATGAGCAGAGGGACTAGTAGAGCCAGGCAGAACAACACCAACACTTAAGTCTACAACCGAGGCTAAGAGAAGGAGTCAAAGAGGAAAAAATAAAAACAGGAGCGAGTATGTCACAGAAGCCAAGGGAGTATTTCATGAAGAAGAGGCAATCAACAGTATCCAAAAGTATCCAACTATTAAGCAAAATAAGGTCTGAAATGGGTCTGCTCCATTCAGACTAGAGCTCTGATAACCTTGACGAGAATGGTTTCAATAAAATGATAAGGATATGGTTTAACATGCAGAAACCATGTTTAAATTAGCTGATGAGGGAGATGAAGTAAAGATAGTACCATAAATAAATATCTTAGAAATAGCTGGAAATGCTGAAAAGGAGTTTTTCTCAAGCAAATGAGATGCTTAAATGCTACTGGTGGAGGAAAAAAAGACACAGGAGAAATGAAGAAGGGAATGAAGAATTTTAATATCAATATTTTCACCCCCTAATCAACCAAAGGCAAACAGACAACCAGACACGATGTATCCCTTGACAAAATAACACTAAACCACCTATAAAATATTCTTGCTTCAAATCAAATCTGAATCTGTTTAAGTCTCTGGCTCCAACCATCTATTTGCAAGAAGTACAGAGGAAAGAGGAATATGTTAAAGACATCATGGGGATATAACCACCAATACCTGTGAAGCTTTATAAAATACTGTAAAAAGTCTTATAAAATAAATGACCCAGTTTTCTCAAATTCCAAGGAAAGGAAGAAAAAAAAGTCAGAAAGGGAAACCTACAGATTAAAAGACACAAGTGACATATCAACCAAGTGCAATTTACAGACCTTATTTATATCTGGATTTAAAAAAAACTGAAGAGTAAGCAACTGCTGGGGTGCCTGGGTAGTGGAGTCAGTTAAGTATCCAACCCTTGATCTTGGGTCAGGTCATGATCTCACAGTTTGTGAGTTCGAGTCCTGCATTAGGTTCTGCGCTGATGGCGCAGAGCCTGCTTGGGATTCTGTCTCCCTCTCTCTCTGCCCTTTCCCCGCTTGTGCTCACTCGCTCTCTCAAATAAATGATAAACTTAAAAAAAACCTGCAAATCAATGAACAAAACTTGGGGGACAATGAACACTGGATGGATGTCTGATGATATTAAAGAATAATTATGAATTTTTCAAGAGTCAATGTGGTATTGTGCTTATTTTAAAAAATCTTTTGGAAATATACAACAAAAAATTTATCAATAAAATGTTATGTCTGGAATATGCATGAAAAAATGTGAGTGGTGGGGCACCTAGCTTGCTTATTAGTCAGTGGAGCATGTGGCTCTTAATCTCGAGGTTGTGAGTTTGAGCCCCACACTGGGTGTAGAGATTACTTAAAAATAAA